AGTCGGCTAGGTAAGATAACTAGCAGTAATTTAAGAGACTTGGAACGGACCCATTGTGTCCTGCCTGAACTACGATATACTCAATTTTGGCAGTGGTGGAAGAAGAACTCAAAACTTTAGTTTGTATGAGTTGTTCTCAAGAAAGCTGCAAGCAGCATTACAACGGCCAAAGCAATCTGCCATGTTCCAGACAAGCATGTTTTGAATGGGCAGTGCACTAGTGATGAATAAAAAATATATTTCCTGTCGTGTGAATATAGTGCCAGGGAAAGGACTTCCTTACCCCATACTCCGGCTTGAAGAATCCCTGCTTCTCCCACCATGGATACCAGGCAGCCTCCACATACTGAGGACTGTAGGAGTCAGGAAGTGGACTAATGACATCTGACACCAGGAGAGAAAGAGAGAAAGAGATAACATATTGACATATAGACGTGAAGCTAATCATGATAAATATGATAAAACTATTCATATTATGGTGGGAATGCACTGACATCACTTTATCACATAATACAATCCCCATCACCTGCTAGTGATGACACAAGCATACCTTCTGTTACACGACAGAAAACACTTCCACCCACGTTGATCACTCACCTTTTTTCTCCCCAGGGGTAGTGGGGACAGTGTATGCGATCACTCCCAACTCCTTCTTCTCCGGTTTGGCCTTTTTCTAAAAGATAAGAGTGATGTTTAACCTATGCAAAAGCCTATATTGTTGACTAGTTTTATGTCTTTCAAAGCTGCATCAAAGTCTTACAAAAAGTTCTGTTTCTAGAAGTTAGTATTCATACCTCTGTCTGTGGCTGACTCTTCTTCTTCGCCTCCATCTCCTTCTTCTGCTGGAACTTTTCAAGCTTTTCTCTCTTCTTTGCTTCCTTCTTCAGCTGAGCTTCTGTCTTTGGTGGGCCTAAAGGAGGAAACATAATGAAAATCAGACTACTGTATACACACAAAAATAAATATTCATAAACTGTGGCACAGAACTTCCTCACCATTAGCTGTGGCATCGGCAGAATCAACAGCAGGACCACCATTAGCAGCTTTATCATTTGCAGCAGCATTTGTCTTCGGTGTAACTGGCACCATCTTCTCACAAAGAGGGATCTGCCCTAACACCTTCAGGAACTGTGGCTGGTTTGTGCAGGTCATGAACCATCTCGTAACATTGGTCAGGACCTTCCTGTCTGATGGCTCCAACACCTAAAAACAAAAAATAGAATCAGATTATACTTGACTGATAGATAGATAGATAGATAGATAAATAGATAGATACATTATTGCACAGTCAAAGGCAGCTAGCATGGCTAAGATTTCTCCGTACTTAACGGTTAAGAGCTAAGAGACATTGTGTTGCATCACATACGTACATATTTGAAAGGCAGAAGAACAGCTGCAGCCACAGCCATATCAGCCAGGGTGATGCTCTCCCCCACCAAGAAGGTTCTTGGTTCCAGTGTCTTATCAAGAACCTTTAGAACACGCATCAACTCCGCACGGGAACTTTGCTGGAGCTGCGAACACACAACAAGTCATTTGAGAATAAAACCTCAAAAGAATAAATCACACACACGTCCATGTGATAGCACTGGGATACTCTTCTCACCTTCTTATCCACTCCCATCATCCCCATCAGTGGGAAGACCACAGCACAGGACACCGGGGTGAGTTCATTGTCTGCAAAGCTGAGCCACTGCCACACCTGGCTCTGCTGCTTTGTATCTACACCTGCCTTCTTCCCCTGATTAGCCAGGTACCAGGACACAGCACTGGCCCCACTCAGGACGTCATTTTCCCCAGCGCCCAGCACCAGGGTTGGTCTGGAGCGGGCATTCAGGGATGCAAGAGGGTCCTCTGTGAGGGTCCGCGGGCGGGAGGACGTACAAAACTCTGCAGCTATGAGAGCCAGAAGGCTCCTGAAGTCATCAGGGTGAGGAGACACGTACAGAGTGGCCATCTCTTTTCAAGACACAAAAATTATATACAGTGTGAACTGGTTTTTAATTGTGTACATTTTCTTTTTCAGTAATCTGCCAAAACAAGTGTGCATGCTATACTGCGTGCGTCTGTTTGCCTGTCACACCAGTTAAACAGGGGTACATCTACAATTATGTTCAATTAGACTTTCGAGATTTGTGAACAAACCGGTTTAAACGTATCAAAGCAAACATCATTTGTGTCTCATACTTGCATACATTAAAAGAGTCAGACGATGGCTGTGGTAGCTGGTTAGCTTTCTGTTTCTCTTTCTGCAAAGCTCCTCTCTACCACCTGTCACAGGCTGACGAAAAGTAACACCAAGCAGGCTAGTTAGCTTTAGCTAATCACACAAACTCCTATTCGAGTTTTTTAAGTGCGCGCGGAGCTTTGCGCGTGTTTACGTGCGAAGCGGTTATTTTGAACTCGTTTTAAAGTTAGTGCTGAATACACCCGTAGTTTGATAATGACAATTAGTGCCAGAAGTTACAGATACCTTTGAATGGAACAGAGAGAGACGTCAGCTTAACTCAGCGCACACAACACCGCCACATGAGACTTTCCTGTCGACTGATGCAACGAGAGTCAGCAACGAGTTCCGGGTTTGATACGCTACTTCCGCTACAAACCGGAAGTTTATAAAATGTTTTACAACAGCAGCAATAACAACAACAACAACCAGTCGTGAAAATAAGCATTAAATAACTTAAACATAAATAAAATACACTATGTATTTACACATTGTCATATAGAAAGTTACAGTTAAATAAGAGCGGTTAAATATCATCATCGAAATATTTTCAAAGTAAAAGAACTCACTATGCAGAGTGCCTCTTTTCAGAGTTTCACGTTACAATATAATTATATTCTTTGACTATTATAGCTATTGTATTTTTATATAATCAGCATTTAAGTGGCTTGTTGAAAGAGAGCCCAATTTAAGTATGCTACTTTATATAGTGTTCGTTAGTCTCGTCTGTAGTGATGTAACATACCATCAAAACCAATTATATGTTGTGCGTGTAAAATCTCAATCTGTGAGGTGATTTAGTAAAGTAAAAAGTACGATATTTCACCCTGAAAAGTAAAAGTATTGAAAGTAGTCGGAAAAGAGGTCAGTGCAGTATCTAAGTACGTATACTTCGCAATTTTCTACCAGTGATAGAAAAAATGCAAATGTGAGAATTACCCTGCATTCACACTGTTTTACTATAGTAAACAACCCAAGTAAGAGCATTAAAAGTAAAAGTACTAACTATGCAGAATGGAGTCTTTGAGAGTGACATTCTATAAGCTATATTATCTTTATTACATTAGTGGATTATTTGTATTGATGTCTTAAAATGCAATACTGTGGTGGTTGAGATGGAGCTGATTTTAATTGATTTTTATATAACTGCTTAGCAGCGTTGTGGAGTGGTTAACTACATGTAGTTCATTTACAAGTTTTACACTATTTGCAGTATAGGTGACAGTTTAACTACATTCAGATCAGAGTAGCTGTTCACTGGTTAACTACTTTGGGTCATGTAGTTTATGTTGTCGATTATAAAGACTAAGGAGCTGTGCTGTGGGGGCAGAGACAGAGCAGCAATCTCACCTCAGCTTTTTAAACCTCTGCACATTCAGGGAGAGCAGGTGGAACAGGTGGAGTGCTTCAAATATCTGGGGACACAGACGGACACCTGCCTGTCCTTTCAAACACACTCAGACACAATTTACAATAAAGCACTTCAGCACCTCCATCTTCTCAGGAAACTGAGAAACTTCAATGTCAGTAAAAAGATCTTAATGATGGTCTACCGGTCACTCATAGAATCCATTCTCACCTTCAATATCACCTCCTGGTACAACTTTCTCACCAACAAACAGAAAACAAAACTCTCACGGATCACAAATCAATCAGGAAAGCCACCCTGATCACAGAGGAACCCTCTCATCCCCTCCATCATTCATTCAGTCTTCTCCCATCAGGCCAGAAAAATAATCTACAAAAAATCATTCATTCCAACTGCAACAACAGCCCTCAACAGCAGAGGAATTTCAGTGCCTTGATAATGACTTGCTGCTGGTCCTTTTCTTTTAAGTGTCAATGGTTTGTATTATCTGGTGTACTTCTTTGCATGTTTTCAGATCCTGTAAATGTCTTGGATGTGTTTTAAATGTCTTCTGTGTGTGTGTAAAGCTGGTGTTGAGCCCTGTTGAAGACAAATTTCTGTTGCCTTTTGGTTCCAGACAATAAAGTTTCTATTCTATTCTATTCTATAAACTACATATTCATAATATTCTTATGACGTTTTGCCACAACTCAGTGGCCACCGTTGTCATTAATGACAACTACCTGCTATTTGACTAACATCACATCTTCAGCCAAGATGTCTGTGATCGAACAGTGTAAGTTTCCCTAGAAGTTTAGTATTTTCCAGATTCCAAGGTGAGGATTCCCTACCCTAGTCTCTTACACAAACACACACTTTATTCAGTGTAAGTTTAGTTTTATCTCGATGTAATAATATGATTCTAGACTCAGATTGTTATCATTTCCTGTGATGCAGATTAGATGTAGTTGAACTACTACAAGCTAAAAAAAAATGAGAGTAGTTAAGATGTAGGTTTACACTGGGATAAACTAGGGTTTTAATGTAGTTTCCCGAACACTGCTGCTTAGAAGTCAAATCCAAACAAATTTAAATGTATCTGCAAAATTTTAATCTGCAAAGTATATCTGTCAGACAATTCAGTGTAGTAAAAAGTACAATATTTCCCCTGGAATGTGGTGGAGGATAAACAGCAAGTAGAATCAAATGAAACTACTCAAGTAAAGAACAAGTACCTCTAAATTGTTCCTAAGTACTGTACTATGTTGTGTCCCTGTTTGGTATTCATAGTTTAAGTTTGTAAGGTTTCGATCTCATAAGTATAACATGAGCATTGATGGATAAAGACAGAACAAATGTTGTTTTTTCTTGTTCTGATGGGGGAGAGATCTTCATTAAGAAAAGCCCACACAACGACAAAAACAATACAAGAAGCTAAGCATTCTCTTTTAATAAAATGCATATGTAAGCAAACATTCATCATAACAATTATCATACAAGAATTATTTTGAATAATTACATCCAAAAGCCTTGTGCACAGTGTTTCTTTATAATTACAGTTGGGTTACTTATCCCAGCAGCAGAATAGTTGGACAGCCAGCCACAGTGAAGTGTAAGACCTGCAGTATAACAAATTCTAATTTGCTAAATTTGATTCAAAACATGTGGCTATCCTTCTATAACAACTAATAAGGCATATCAATGACATCAAACTGAAATATTCCCCTTTGTTCCACACTCTTATGTGCTAAAGAAATTTACAAAACAAAACTGGAGAAAACATTTGAACATTTTTTACTCGTGGTGTCATGGTGACTTCCTGCATTTTTTATTCTGACTCCTCCCCAAAAGCTCCTCTCACCGCACCAATGAGCACATCCACCACCCCCATTATTACCCCCCCTCCCAGCCTAAACACTTTACCCACCCCATTTCCACTTCTCCACGCTAGCCTCCCCATCCCTCCACCTACAGCCTTTGCCTGACCTCCCATCTCTGACACCACCGTTCCTACGTAACCCTCGCTCTGCTCCCACAGCCGCCCTCCAAAGAACTTGGTCACCCACCAAACATTATCCAACGCACCACCAAATATCCCCACTGTGTCTCCGGCCAGGGTCCCCACGCCGGTGACCCCAGTGTGGCAGCTGTTCAGCAGGGCCCCCAGCATGGAGGAGGAGCAGTAGTAGATGCTGGAGCAGCACGTTCCCCCAATACCAAGTACTGTTTCTCCAGCTGAGCCAATCCAAGAAAAGAGGTCAGAGGTCAAGAGGTGGAGCAGGGAGAAGGTTTCTCCAGGTAGGGCAGACAAAACTCCAAGATCCTCTTGAAGAACGTATGACACCTGAGTCAAAAGACAAAAATGTCATTTTTAATAACAATGTTTGAATAATGAAATGACTGAATGACTCGAGGGTGTGTAATGACTGAACACCTGCTGCGGGCCACACCTCATTCCAGTCTATGGGAGGAGCACTGGAGCTGAACATGTTTAACCACAACTGTTTCTACAAACCAACAACACTAAACTAACATCTCTATGTTTTTTTTCATGAACTCTTGGAGGATTAGTAATGATTAGTAATGATTAGTAATTTTGCTGCTGTCCTTTTGGTGTTGTTGCATTTCAGTTTAATTTGTGTTTTTTGTTGCCTTTTGCAAACCTGGAATTATCCCAATTATCCATTGTTTTGTTTTTGCTAAAGTACTTGTAATGATCAAGTATTTTGCCTGTACTTGACAAATTAAAGGGGCGTTTCCCCAATTTTACACATGGAGTTCCCTTAACTTGTAGGAGGAGTACTACTCAGCATGTGAAAACAGTTATGCAATGTTTTCTGTTGCTCTAGATCAGCTGAGAAAAGTCTGACAAAAGAATTCTGATGATGTTTTCAGGCTTGGCCTTGCAGTCTACAACTTTGGAGCAGAAGGCCTGTGTTACAAATTGGGGTGTGGCAGGCTCTGTGGCAAGTGTAGGACGCCTCAATTTCAGCCATTCCCTTGTAAGCCTAATGGAAGTGTATTACTAAATTGCCGGAATACCCCTTTAAAAGTTCAGTCTGTAATAAGGGGGTTTAGTGGCATCTACTGGTGAGGAATTCTCTCAGTGTTCATTGTTCAGGTTTTTAAAAGGAGCCAAATGATCTGCAGTGGTTTCTTCCTCTGTAAAACTAATGGACCAGGTGATATAAAAAGGTAAAAGCGCTGAACAGTGCAGTTTCAACATTCTTGTCACAGAGAGGCTGAAAAGTACAGAATGAATGGCCCTATCTAGAGCCAGTGTTTGGTTTTGTCCAGTCTGGGCTACTGTACAAACTTGGCAGTGCAACATGTCAATCTCCATAGACGAGGACCCACTCCCTCTGTAGATATCAACGGCTCATTCCAAGTTTAGGAAAATACGATTCTTATTTCCAGGTGTTTATACACTAAAGAAAACATACTTATTATATTCAGTTACTACCAATATATCTCCCTGAATACTACACTTAACATTTAAGTATAAATAAGATAAAACTACCTGTCCAGGTAACTGTGTGATGGTGGAGAACACAGGCCGCAGCGGAGCTTTGATGATAGACATGGTGGTGGAGAGAATGTAGACCAACATGCTGCTGGAATTTGTGTCTGTCTCTTGTTCATCCACAGTTTCATAGTCGGCTGAGGACTTAGGGGACTGTGATCTGGCAGCGCTTGAATACCTCCCATCACGTTGCTCTTCAGCACTACCCTCTGAAGTCGAATCTTGGCTGGTGGCACTTGAACCGACTTCCTCTCCTCCAGCGGCACTTGAGCGGACGTCCTCTTCTCCTGTGGCAGCTGATCTAACCTCCTCTCCTCCAGTGGGAGCAGAGCCAACTTCTTCTCCTTCTGTGGCACCTAAACTAACCTCCTCTTGTTCAGTGGCATCTGAACCAGCCCCCTCTTGTTCAGAATTATCTGAACCAGCCTCTCCTCCTTCAGAAGTATCTGAACCAGCCTCTTCTCCCTCAGTGCCATCTGAATCAGCCTCCTCTCCCTCACCGGCATCTGAACCAACCTCCTCTCCTCCAGTCACACCTGAACCAACCTCCCCCAAGCCAACTCTGATTCCAACAGTCTCCCCATCTGCCCCTCCACAGTCTTCTGAGAATAACTCTGCCACTCCTAGCATCTCCTCCAGCTCCTTCACACTCACTTGCTTCTCCCTTTCCCCTGCCTCTCTGATTAACCCCATACTGAAGCCACTCCTCCCCTCTGGGGCAGCGCAGCACACTGCAGACCACAGCAGCTTCGTCTGACACTCATCGTCTCCATCCTCAGCAGCTCCGAGACCTCCCGCCCCAGTCAGGATGTAGAGATCACCCTCTAGAGTGTTGCAGTGGGGAATGATGCTAGATTGGAACAGTGTTGCTACTGTTGAGTCCCAGTGTTTAAGCGGGGAGTCTGTGGACGAGACAGGATGAGATGGATCCACACCTCCTCTGAGAAGGGCTGGTACTTTGATGTTGTTGTCTTCTTCTGTCTGGCAGAAAATAATCAGAACCAAGTGTTAAAGCACAATAGAATCAATGCAAATGTACACTAGTATTACACTGTATTACAGTACAGATACTTCAGCCGGTTTTACGAATATGAATCATTACATTTTCAAGTGTTCAGACGTTCTTAGTGAGTCTATCACATTTGAAAAATAGAACGTGAAAAATAAATTTTTGTTTTACTGTCATCGCATGAGTCGAAAGGTTTAAGTTTGACAGCAGTGAACAAAAATCCAGCTGCCTGGGTGATTTGTTGGCCACTTACAGTGCTCTTATCTGTTTTATTTTCTGTATATTCAATTTTCAAATGCAGGGACTTGCAGTAAACTACCAGAGCTGTCTGTTAAGCATGTTCAGTGCTCAATACTTTTGCAATATTTCACAAGAGATGAACTGAAAGGAACCTTAGTGGCAACTCTGCTGGCTGCATGTAAAAAAGCTATAACTCCTAAGTGGCTAAAGCCCCGGGTTCCCCTGACTGAGGACTGAATGGACATAGTTTATCAAATATATACAATGGGGAAATGGACATATCCTCTCAGAGTACATCAGAATGAATTTACCAAAATATGGTCACAGTGGATTGACTTTATCAGACCCCAAAGACAAGACTTGACATGAGACACATGCATAACTCGAATGCTACCATTTCTTCTGTTTGTTTTGTGCTCTACATAGTTCTGTTTGGTACCAGCAATTGATGCCTTCAAAATACGTCTAACAGGAAAGGAAGTCCTCCTACTTTTTATCTATTTTACTTCCACTATTATTTTATTTAATTCATGGGTCTTCATCAGGGGCTCTGTGACCCCTAGGGCAGGGGTCAGCAGCCTTTACCATCAAAAGAGCCATTTTTGACCAATAATAATAATAAAAAAAAAAATCTCTGTGGAGCCACAAAACATATTTGAGCCTTATAATGAAAGTAACACAGCCTATTAAGTCTACATTTGCCTTTACTAATAGTCTAAATGAGCATTCATTATTATATTTTACCACAAGGTGGCTACTGTGCAAGGCACTATTTAAGATTATTTGGAATTTGAACTTTGCAGAGCTGGCAGTGAAAGCAAATAAAAATGTCCACGCACTATTATACATTTATTGCGAGACTTTTTTTTTTTGATTTGGCAACCATAGCAAACCAGCTATGTAGACTCAAGACGACTGATACTTTTAAAGGAAAAAGGTGGCAGTTTTCTTTGTTGAAATATGAAAACATTTTTTTATTCAGTATATAGGCTTCAAGTTTTTAAAATTGGAGAATGTAAGCCCACAACATTGATAAATAAAAGTAAATAAGTCAAGTTTTTCATTTCTCAAAGCCTCAGGGATTTACAGTACACAACACTGATGATAGGCAAACTGTGACCCATGAATCCTCCTGCAATCATGTCAACGAGCTACCCTACAATAAATCACTGCACCTTTCACATATGTACAGTACAGGCCAAAAGTTTGGACACACCTTCTCATTCAATGCGTTTTCTTTATTTTCATGACTATTTACATTGTAGATTCTCACTGAAGGCATCAAAACTATGAATGAACACATGTGGAGTTATGTACTTAACAAAAAAAGGTGAAATAACTGAAAACATGTTTTATATTCTAGTTTCTTCAAAATAGCCACCCTTTGCTCTGATTACTGCTTTGCACACTCTTGGCATTCTCTCCATGAGCTTCAAGAGGTAGTCACCTGAAATGGTTTCCACTTCACAGGTGTGCCTTATCAGGGTTAATTAGTGGAATTTCTTGCTTTATCAATGGGGTTGGGACCATCAGTTGTGTTGTGCAGAAGTCAGGTTAATACACAGCCGACAGCCCTATTGGACAACTGTTAAAATTCATATTATGGCAAGAACCAATCAGCTAACTAAAGAAAAACCAGTGGCCATCATTAGAGGTAGAGGTAGTCACCTGAAATGGTTTTCCAACAGTCTTGAAGGAGTTCCCAGAGGTGTTTAGCACTTGTTGGCCCCTTTGCCTTCACTCTGCGGCCCAGCTCACCCCAAACCATCTCGATTGGGTTCAGGTCCGGTGACTGTGGAGGCCAGGTCATCTGCCGCAGCACTCCATCACTCTCCTTCTTGGTCAAATAGCCCTTACACAGCCTGGAGGTGTGTTTGGGGTCATTGTCCTGTTGAAAAATAAATGATCGTCCAACTAAACGCAAACCGGATGGGATGGCATGTCGCTGCAGGATGCTGTGGTAGCCATGCTGGTTCAGTGTGCCTTCAATTTTGAATAAATCCCCAACAGTGTCACCAGCAAAACACCCCCACACCATCACACCTCCTCCTCCATGCTTCACAGTGGGAACCAGGCATGTGGAATCCATCCGTTCACCTTTTCTGCGTCTCACAAAGACACGGCGGTTGGAACCAAAGATCTCAAATTTGGACTCATCAGACCAAAGCTCAGATTTCCACTGGTCTAATGTCCATTCCTTGTGTTTCTTGGCCCAAACAAATCTCTTCTGCTTGTTGCCTCTCCTTAGCAGTGGTTTCCTAGCAGCTATTTGACCATGAAGGCCTGATTGGCGCAGTCTCCTCTTAACAGTTGTTCTAGAGATGGGTCTGCTGCTAGAACTCTGTGTGGCATTCATCTGGTCTCTGATCTGAGCTGCTGTTAACTTGCAATTTCTGAGGCTGGTGACTCGGATGAACTTATCCTCAGAAGCAGAGGTGACTCTTGGTCTTCCTTTCCTGGGTTGGTCCTCATGTGTGCCAGTTTCGTTGTAGCGCTTGATGGTTTTTGCGACTCCACTTGGGGACACATTTAAAGGTTTTGCAATTTTCCGGACTGACTGACCTTCATTTCTTAAAGTAATGATGGCCACTCATTTTTCTTTAGTTAGCTGATTGGTTCTTGCCATAATATGAATTTTAACAGTTGTCCAATAGGGCTGTCGGCTGTGTATTAACCTGACTTCTGCACAACACAACTGATGGTCCCAACCCCATTGATAAAGCAAGAAATTCCACTAATTAACCCTGATAAGGCACACCTGTGAAGTGGAAACCATTTCAGGTGACTACCTCTTGAAGCTCATGGAGAGAATGCCAAGAGTGTGCAAAGCAGTAATCAGAGCAAAGGGTGGCTATTTTGAAGAAACTAGAATATAAAACATGTTTTCAGTTATTTCACCTTTTTTTGTTAAGTACATAACTCCACATGTGTTCATTCATAGTTTTGATGCCTTCAGTGAGAATCTACAATGTAAATAGTCATGAAAATAAAGAAAACGCATTGAATGAGAAGGTGTGTCCAAACTTTTGGCCTGTACTGTATGTTTAACATTAAAAAACGGTGTGTAAATATATGAATCTTATTATGTCAATAATGAGTATTTTCATGGCTTAGTACTGTATGCACCATAACAAGGCATGTTTATGGCACTTTAGGCTGCCTTACACATTCTTGTAGGCTCAGTATAATAGGGCAAGGCAGCTTTATTTATACTGCATATTTCATACACCAGGGCAATTCAAAGTGCTTTACAGAGCAATAAAATACGGACCATAACAAAGGATACAGATTTACAATAAAAGAGTACAAAGAAAAAAGGTAATGAATTACTAATTCATTCACATTTACAAAACTAACTTGTACTACTAACAAAGTATGGGGTCCCTGTTTTGTCTCTCTTTTAGCTTAGCAGTCCTGGGTCTGAAAATATTTGTCTATTTCTTTATTTTCCATTTATTTGGGATCTAACTGGTCGAAGAGTAGATAAACAGATTAACATAGTGGAGGAAGTATTACAATATTTCATTCTTTAATGTAGTCAATTAGAAGTACCATAGAATGGAAATACTCAAGTACAAGTTACTTCCCACCTCTGTTTTCCTGCTTGCATGCTGGAACCAATCTGTTTTGTGCTGGTCTTCATGTTTCTAATTCCATCATTCAAAAACAGATAGTTGTACTTTAAACAGCAAGAGATGTGTCCTTACCACAAGCTCTCCCCCCTCCTCTCCCTCTGTCCATCCGTGACTGAGATGGAAGGCGGAGTAGACAGCTGTGTCACAGGTCGGCTTAGACAGAGTGGCAAACGTCTGTCCCCCGGGAAGTGTGTGGCAGAGTGAGCGCAGCGGCGGCCCTGCAGAGGCTCCCTCAGGAGGCGTCTGTCTGTAGAAGCAGTGGCTGCAGTGGCTGAAACCTTCCTCTGAGTTGTCCTCAGCTGGATGAGACAAGCCTGGGCCCAGCACTGCCAACAGCCAGACAGCCGCAGCAGCTGCACTGACAGCAGCAGGACACAGCATGGTGGTGGTGGTAAGCTCAGCAAATCCCCCCCCCCTCTCTCTCTCTCTCTTACATACACACACTCACACAGAGCGAGAGGGAGAGGCTTATAAATTATCCAGTGGTTTCCGTTTATAGATGGAAAAGGATAAGGTGGCCAAGGTTGGCTGCTGATGGCTTGTTGTTTTTCTCACTCGCTCCTTGCTCTCTCCTCCAGTTTGTCTCCAACCATGTCTGTCTTCTTATAAAGTCAGCTGTACTCTGAGAGAATCTGTCTATGTTGCAGGGACAATCTTGCTTACTCCTTCATTTCCCTTTCCCTGACAACCTCGCCCCCTCTATCAGTTCCACACTCTTTTGACTCTCCCTCTGGCTGTACCTCCACTTCACCCCTCCCTCCTAAATGCTCTATGGTTACACCTTTAACTCCCACTGCTGTTAGGTACACAAGCCAAGTACACACACCCATAAAAGCTGTCAATTACCTGTAAGTCTGCATTCCAAAACAATGGTCCTTGTACAGGCATTGTACCTTGAATGACACACTCTTGCTGTCCATTAATCCTGCATTGCTCAACGTGCTGATTTTGATTCTGTGTCAAGTCAAACAGCTGCTTGGAAACACTTCCATATCAAGCAGGATTTCTCACTTGAAACTCCAGGTAAAATGTCAGCAACTGAGCTCTAAATATAACGTCAGCTCATGAACTCCTCATTAAAACTTAATCCTGACAGTGTCAAAGTCATGGGTCATTGTCTCACCCAAAGTGCAGTGATTCTTGAGCTCCTAACTTTCCAGACAACGCAAATTCCCTTCCATGCATTTCAGATTGCAGCTTGCTTTCTTTGATAGTAGAAACATGCCTGTTGAGACACGATGTTGGCACCGGCTCTCCTTTACAAAATCGTTATGTAGCAAAAACAGCAACTTGCATGCAACCCTGTAACCTACTTCTCTGCATGTGAAAGAGTCAACAGAAAAATACCTAGCTCTCTCTCTTAGACATCTAGAAGAGGTGGAGTCCAGCCAGACTGTCTTCAAGTTGCTTAAGAGTTATAGCAAACATGAGCCAGATACACCCCTGGGCTCCTATCAAGAGTGGTATGAGGATTCCTTTACAGAGGTCAAGCAAGCAAACACATGCAATGAGCAACCCAGACTAAGTTTACACAAGCTTTCCTCATTCACAGCTTTAGTCTAGTGAATGTTGTTAGTTCACATGTCCTGCATACAGTAAGTGTTCGGACAGACTATAGCATACCTCAGTGACTGACAAGTCTGGCATGTGAGTCCTAGGGTGTGATGTTTTGGGTGGGGCATGAATCATACATTTGTTTTAACATTTTCAGAGCTTTTAAACATCTAAAATGGTGCAATGAGGAATGCTGTCAGATGAACATAAAACAGCTCTGACCAGCTGCTTTAAGTAAAACAACCTCTGCAGCATGATCTCAGCAGAATCTGTGAATGAAACCTGACACAAACAAGTACTTCAAGTCATCTGAAATAACACTTTGCATTTTATTCTCTCACAAACACAACTGGAAAGGTGCAAAAATAATTAACATGAAGTAGCTTTGATTTTTTTTGACAATTGGTAAAAAAGAGACATTAACCTTGAATAAGTACAAGTGACAGGTGTCAAAACTGCCTGTAACAGGCAGAGAAGACTTAACATTTGAAATATTTATATCAGAGTAAAACAGCTTTAATGGACTGCAATAGCATGTCTGGGATATTGTTTAGACAATGCACAAACAAATAAGAAACAAATTCTCTCTGTGCAGGACACACCTTGCTGTAGTCACAGTTTGTAGATTGCTAGACTGATTGGACAACAAATAATCAGCAGGCAGCTTGTATCTGTTTAAAAAGTAAAATGTCCGATCATCCCAGCGTCAGTGGATTTTTCTTAAAAGCTTAAAAACTGTAGTTTTGTCACAGATTTAATTCTGACCATAATATTGTGAAACCACATTTTACTGGGAGATATTTCTGACAGTGATCCTGTAATTAAGGAAAAGTCCACAGGAGGGAGCTCAGCCCTCTTTTTGAAAATCTGTAATGGACTACTGAATGCACAAAATACAGTCAGTCACATTTTGTCTTTCACTCTCTCACACACACACACACACACACACACATACAGATGCACAAACCCTCCATTCTTTGCTTATAAAAGCCCTATTCACAATAAGCTAGTATTACCTGGGGACCTCGTGATTTAGAAATTACCCCCCCTCACATCTGTGTTTAGTGCTGCTCATTCTCTCGGGAAGACTGTATTTTACTCAAATTTACTGACATTATCCCGTGGATATGATGCGCAGAGTCATTTTTAACTCCACTCTAACCACAGAAACACTACACACAGCACCACGAGCAGTGATAAACCTCCTTTTTTTCTGATGCCGATCATATGACCTCTGTTTGTTGCAAAATATGGTAGGTCATTTGCGGTGAATTTTTTACTTGACAAACTACAGATATGGCAGATTCACAAGGGATTATGATCACAAACAACCTCCACAGTTATTACAAATTACTAGAGGTCCCCAGGTAATACTAGTCCCGTGTAAATAGGGCTAAACACATCTTAACACACACTCAGGCTCACTCATTAGGGATGTCAATAACCAGTTCGGCCTCGTCTCCCTCCGCTCTGTCTTCGTCTCCTCTGTCGCTGTCTGCATCGCTGTCTCCTTCCTCCTCAGCTGCATCTCCACTAAGCATCTGTCTGGGAACCCAGCTGAAGGGGCCACTGGCTGTTGGAGGGGCTGCAGTGGCTGATGGGTAATTGGCTGCCATTGGGGCAACAACCTAAAAGGAATTTAAAATAAAGCCAAAGTGTTAGAAAAAGGCAAAGGGATGGAGATATGATGAAGAAATAATGACTATGGATGTATGGATCACAGATGTACAGAGTAAATCAGGATGAAGCATGCAGCACGTATGTGAACATACAGACAATAAAGACATGTCAGCATAGTGCCAAAATCAAAATGACTTATGGGACTGAATTTTCACACCAATGTCCTGTGTGTTTGTATATAAACAATGTGCCATCTAATACAAACAGCACATTTATATACAGGATGTGAAAAATAAGCAGTATATTGGCATTATTATCATTATTATCATCATCTCTGAACATCTCATTTTCCCGTTTCCTCTCTCACCTTCCCCGCTGTCTCTCTCTTGTTTTTAGGCGTCTTTGTTTTTCTCTCTTTCTTCATTCGCTCAGCTGGGGGGGCCAAATACTCTGGTGGGAAGGGCATCTGCCCAACACACACGCAGGCCCCAAATTGCCAAATGAACACACATGCACACAGGCAATTTACAGAACAGACACACACAAACACAACAATAAAAAAACAAACACAGAAGAATGAACAATGCATGGACAGTGAAGCCGTTATCAGCATCAAACAAAAAACAAATGAGATAAAACAGACTTATGAATAAAATGACAATCAAATTATATCAAATTATATTTAAAAAAAATGGCAAATCAAAACTGGGATTATGTTTGCTGATGAGGAGATGACATAGGCAGCAATGTTACTGTTGCTGGACCCACTAAGATTTAAGAAAGGGAGACGGAAACTCACAGTGTTGAGGTAGGGTCCAGAGCCTGATGACTGTAGGGGATGTACACCAGGACGGGACAGCAGGGAGAGATGGGGAGAGGATGAGGAAGGAAGACACGCCCCAGGACTACTTCTTCGCCTGAAAAGAGTATGTCACAAATTAAGAGACATGAGGGAGTTGTTTGTCTTATGTCTCTGTTTGATGCAAGTATGATGCTGTTTTAGTTTATTCTAAAATATTGTGGGAAACAGAAAACAGTTGCCTCACATTTTAGAGTGGTCAAGGAAGACGCACAAGTTTTGAAAAACAAACATGCCTGGCCAAAGGTGGTCAGAAATAAAACAAGAGACCTTAATTATCCATAAATTACTTGCACAACTTCAGTCTCAGTTCAAGCACAAATAATTGTACCGTACACACACAATTAGAGACGTAAATACAAATAATGGTTTGTTATTGGAGGCATTTTATCCATTTACACCCAAACACTTTATGACATATTCATTTTTAAGGTTTCAATTTTATACTCTGCTGTATATTGCATCAGGATTATGTTTACTACGGGGCTTTTTTCTTTCAAAATGGTCACAATAACCAACAAAATGAGGCTCTAATTCATTAATATGTATGTTGCATTTTCATATTTGAGTGAGTAGTCATGGTACAAGCAGCCTATGAAAGCTCTACATATTGCTAGCATCCCACAGGTGTTAGAGTGGGTGGTGAAAGGCAAAGTGCTGACCTATTTGAGGTACAATATTGTTGATATAATTACTCAAGAGATACCCTGAGTCAGTGGGTCTAATTCTTTAATTTTATATTAAAATGCCAAACTTACTTCTTTGCTACATCTCGTTCTCTTTCCCTCTCCCTGGGGCCTTCTCCTTCACTATTTTCAGAAGAAACTGTTGCGTCTGAATCTGGAAAAGAAGACAAGAAAACCTCAATCAACCTACAGTTAGAAGATAGAAATGAAAGTATGCCATAGAAATAAATACTTTATTTTTAAGGGGAGCTTTTAGGATGAGGTGTAATATACCTACCCGAAGAGTCTTCATCTACTCTCTCATACTGTAGCAGTCTGTCCAGAAGGAAGCTGGTAAACAAGTAAATGACATTGTGTTACTGCAGGCACTTTAAATTGTTTAACATCAACATATTTTCATGCACACACACACACACACACACACACACACACACACACACAGTGTAATCTCACCTTTTGTCTCTGGAAACTTTGAGAAGTTTTCTCTGTGCTCTCCTCAGCTCCTCCTGAAAGCATTCCTGTTCCTGCAAAAGGAAACCAAACATGAAATCAGTGTAAATAATGAGACAGGTGTGTATTTATAAAACACCGAAACATGACTGAGCGTCCACACTCGGGATGATCATACTCACATAAACAAGAAATTTTAATTTGCGTTTGAGATTTTTGTATTTCCGCTTGTAGTCAACTTCGACGTCCGCTTGACCGTTCATTTCTGAAATAAAGCAGGAAATTATAAAAACGCTGAAACCTACAGTCTGCTGATAGTTGTAGATACTTAATAAAGGTAAGTTTTTTAAACCAACTGCCTGTGAAACAGAGACGGAAACGCTACTGAATGCTAAGCTAAACGTTAGCATACCTAGCTAGCTCGCTAAAGATACAGAGCTGCTGGTCTTACGGGACTCTGAAGATCCACCAAGATTTATTTCTAATCTGCAAACATGGTTTCATTGAATATGCAACGCTCTTTTTATCCATGAAAATTAATTTGTACCTCTTGACTGAGTCTGTCTGTGCGACATGCTCTTGTTTACTTCCGTGACGTCACTTTTATTTTCTTCTTCTGAGGTTTTAACGGCAGTACGCATCCGGCATCTTCGGTGCATTACCGCCACCTTCTGCTTCTCACGTGGACCAGAGATTAAATCCTACAAATAAATCCTGTCTCAAAGATTTTCTGATCAAATCAAAGAAGCAGGGAGACACAGAAGATACCACTGAAGCTGCGGAAGCTTCATCTTCATCAGCCTGCAGAGAAACAAAGTTTACACACTGAAACCTGTCACACTAAAACATGTACATACTGACAAACCCCTTCAAACTCCTCAAACATACAGATATCAATTCAAAACCCTTGAAATGCAATGCCGTTCCTATGGTCTAAGACAATCCAAAAACAGGAATAACATGAACATCTCTCTCCCAAATCCAAAACCAGGGTGCTTAAACTAAAATTTGAGATGTCATAAATAATTGAGTCTGGAGCTACACCACAGACAATGAATTTGTAGCTTAAAAGATAAGGTATAGATCATGGGTTCACATCCTCGGGGTCCTGACCTCCACTATGGGGTCGCCAGTGCTTGATTTTAAGAGGTTTTAGAACATGTTTTAAGACGTATACACACATAGATATAAATCTCAGCCTTTCATCCATTTCTGGAAATGAAACTTAATCAAATTAAGTTGATAATATTATTCAAGATCCAAACTTAAAATGCGTCTCACAGGATGAGGGCACAGTGGAGACCTGAATACAAACTACATTCAGAGAGCCTTCACTCTGCTAAATAACCGCATCCTGCATTAGAAACATATCAGGAAGTCTCTAATGAAATGCTCACAGAAAATAATCTGTTCAAAATTCATCCAAACTGTTTGTTTTAAAGAAACTTCCTGCAGTTATTGCATTCACTATTTGGGTTAATTGTACAGTCAGCTGGGTATAAAAAAAAGAAAGCAAACATTCTGTGGTCCACAAAATCAGTCTCTCATTCATTATCTGTAGAGCAGCTCCAGACTTTGTACTCTATGACGCCACATGTTGAGACTTGCTTCTGGGGTTTCTGGCTTTGAGAGAGAGTAGCTCATGTTCAGATATTGACAGAACTTTCATGGGCAATGGAAATAACATACTAGAATTCTTAATTGGTGGTGTCCTCCTTTAATAGGAAGGATATCTCAAATTGAAAGGTGGAAAAAACTAGTTTTAAGGGTTTTTAAAGACCTTAAATGGATAAGCTAACCATCACAATCCTTTAATAGATTGTAATACATTTATTTGTCAGTTAAATTACTTGAGACCTGCAGTGAGCCCTCACAAATGTGAAGCAATCCCCTGGATTTGCACCTTAATTGAAAAATATGTTGTGAGAAAATGTGCTGTGAGAGGTCAGCTGGTGGAGAAACTGCTCTGCAGTCTCAGGGTAGTCAGATTGAATCTCTCCTGGACTGCTTGTGTTCTCCCTTTGATACTCCTCAGAGGGCTGTTTAATGAAAGTGTCTCTCATTCTCAAAAGCCTGTCTCGAATGAGCCTAACGAGCCGGTCTGTTTCATGCAGACACTCACAGCTGGTCAGAGCCTGAATTCATCAAGACACGTCAGAGGAGGAAATCAGTCCGAAATGGGCAAACGATGTCAGAGTGACACATGTTTGTTTCTTTCAGGACAAGATTCTGCAACTTTACTGTCAAAAGAGCCATGTTTTTGCCAAATAGAGAAAACTTGACGGGCACCTTTTAAAAATATTTTAAAAGCTGTTAACAAATCAACCCTCTCTGACTTCTTGAGCTCCAGTAAATTCATGTCTGTTGGTGTTGTTGAGTGTGTCTATGGTTCAGCCTCTGGAATAAAGGGCTTAGCTTGATATTTATAACCTCCAAGTACTCTGCATATCTCTTGCCAACCCACCCACAGCTTGCTGTTTGTCCTCTGCTTCGTTCCCCAGTACTCCTGCAACACCACTTCAGTCAGGTGTTGTTCTTCATGTCCTTTGAGGTTAGCCCAGTAGTTGGTCATTAACTGCTTCTTTCTAATATCTGGTGACATCTCTCCCGTCTGGACTTGCAGGGCTGGGATGAGAGTTGACTTTACTGCTCCACAAACTGTCTTTGAGCTTGTGTCTGCATGTTATTAAGCTTTTCTAAAGGAGTTTTTAAGGGTGAACGATAAATGACACTAGAGGACCTTTTATTTTTCAGATATAAAGATATGAGTACAGATAAAACAATTTAAAAACAAAGCAAACCTTTTTCTTTTTTTTGTATAATTTGACACTAACACAACAGTCATATTTGTTATTTCTGTTATATATTTGCCACATATTTTTTTATAGTCCTATCATTTGTTTTAAATCAAAGACATCAGAATTAAAAACTAAAGGACAGTTCATTACATTAATATAGCCCACACTGATTTATAGCTGCTTTGATCGTCAGCCAGGAGATGCTGTGCATGCTTCCCTTGTATTTTTTTTAATCACCCTGTCAGCGTCCCCTCCACCTGCCGCATATTGTAGTGCACTGTAGTTTGCTGCTCAACCTCAGATCAGCACAGTCACTTGCCAGGACCCAGCGCCATGAATTATAGATGAGGAACATTTGCAGAGATGAGTAATGCTGCCTCAGTGCACATACCCTCAGCCAGACTCCCCCTGTGTGTCGAGGGTGATGGAGGGGGTAGACAGGAGGAGACAAAGAAAGAGAGATATAAAAAGTTGAGATAAGAGGACAGACCCATGGAAGAGGCTTTTGGCAATGCAGTGGGATGCAGATATGTACTCCTTGAGAGGAAGAGCAGAATTGCTGACTGTAAGTTTTGAAACGCACCCCCCTCTCAGACAATGTGAAATCCAGCAGGGCACAGACAGCTAAACAACATCCTTTAATGCAACTACCAAAGCAAGCACTGTAATAGCTCATAGTTGCCGCACTGAGTACTCCCCCCCCCCAGACATTGTCTTACTTCCAGGCAAAACAACTGGCGACATGAAACACAGTATCTGCCTCTCTCCAACATCAGATTCTTCCTTGAGTCCAAAGACACTGGCAGACAGAAATAGACTCTTCTGTGTCTGCTGCCATAAATTGCTACTGCCAGCCAGCAAGCCCTCCTGGCAGCTAAAGTCATCTGCCACCCCTCCACCCCTCCTCCCTCTCCTCAACTCCTCCTAATGGATCCATATATTCTCAAGTCAGGCTGTGGACACTGATCTGTGCTCGTCAATAAGATTTCTCCTTAATTTTTTCCGCTTGGATGTATGTCCTTGTTGCTCTATTAGTATTGCTTGTTCTCATCGTGCTGGCATGTGTGTTCCCCCCCACCCTCTCAATTCTCTCTCTCCCTCTCTGTATTGTTATGCCCTCTAATTTGTCCCTCCCTCTCACTCCGTCCATCACTTTTTTTTTCCACTTTCCTCAAGTGTCCTCTCAACTTCTGTTTTGTACAATTTGCAGAAACTGGAATGTACCGAAATCACACCAAAGACACCAACAACAACTGCAACAAAAACCTCCTGAATGATCACAAGGTAAGCTCCATGTTTTATTGTTTTCACCTGCTGCTGTATTTAGAACAGCAGACACGAGATACATTGACTCTCATAATGTGACTTTGGGCTGGCATGATATCAGATTTTTCCTACATGATTATCGTGGCCATAAGAGTTCATGATAAAGACATTATTGCAATATCATAGAAAATTGATAAAGAAGTTATCAGTCAAATTCCTTTTTAATTTTGTTTATTGTAGATTTTGTCTCTTTTTGGCAAATGAATTACACTCAAAATATGAGTGTAGGTAGGTTGAGAGAGAGTCTGTAATCATAACTACAAAATCATACAGAAAGAGTATCTAAAGGTTGGTGACAAGGCAACCAGATGGCATTGGAGGAGGGCAACAAAGCAAGGACAGACGGAAAATGGAAACTATTTTAGAGCCGCTGGATAATGTACATGATACTATATGATCACATGAGTATTATTTATATAATATCAGTATTTTATTCTTAAATGTCACAGTTATTGCCAATACCAGTATATCCTGACATTCATAATATAACTGTGTTTATTTGAAACCTCATGTTTCATAGGCAATGAAACTCAGTTTGCAAGATATTAAATCAGTAACATTTCTATTCCATTTGTATTTTTTCTCCTATTGTCTGTCTCCTGTTTGTGTGTGTGTGTGTGTGTGTGTGTTACAGGAAAAGCTTATCCAGGCTATTAAAAGAATCAAGCATGAGGTAGATGTGTGCAGAGAAGCAGAGAGAGAGACGTTCATAGAGTCATTGGATGTAGAGGTACTGTTGCTGCATTATTAATCCTTACCTTTTTTAAAAATGCACTCTGTCATACATAGCAATCGCAGTTTACAAGAAACTAAATGTATATATTCATAACAATTCTACTGAAGCTAGTTTTTATATCCACACACTACATTTCCCAGCCAACACCTGTATGCGGGGCCCATGTGGGTATAAACGAGCTGAAAATGGGCCCTATATGGGATTGTTCATGGGTTCCACATTGGCCCAATTCCAATTGCCCACATGTGTGAGTTTACCCAAGTGGGCCCCAGATGAGATGCCCATTTTGGACCCATACCCACTTCGTACCCAGGCAACCCTGGGAGCCATGTGGGGCCCACTTGGGTAAAGCTATCAATGTTGGCAAAATGGAACCCACGGACTATCCAATATAGGGCCCAGTTTTCAACCCATTTACTACCCTCATGGGCCACATGTACAAATGTTGGCTGGGTTGTAGTCACACACAGGCTGAACTGATCATTTTCCATCCTCTCTCTCCGTCTATCAGAACAGTTTTGATGCCCTGGAACGAGAAATCAGAGCTGAGTTTCAGAACCTGCATCGTTTCCTAGATGAGGAGGAGTATAATGACCTGGAACGAATGAGGAGGGAGAGACAGAAACAAGTGAAGCAGCTGAAGGAGAGAGAGAAGAAGATAGCAGCGCAAGGGAGAGACCTGGAGAGAGCAATTGCGGTGCTCAACAGCAAACTGACCGAGGACGACAGCCCGAAACTGCTCAGAGTGAGGAAGCATTTGCTGCTAAAGAAGTTTTGTCTTATACTGTAACTTTACAAAGATGGAGTATGGTGATGGAGGTAAATTCAGAACAAGGGTGAGTTAATGTGTGTGGGGACAGAGGGGGAGGTGTCAGTTTGGACTCCCTCCATAAAACATTTTGGAAACAGCAGAGCCAAGCTTGGGGTTATCCAGGGTCACTGTAAGCATTCCCCTTGACCTGGGACAAAACTTTACTTACCTCACTATCAAATTGTCAAAATAGCTGTCTGTAATTGCTCCTCCTGTTGTGAATCCTTTGAGCTTAGAGCTGCTGGGGAAAAAATGTGACAGTGCAGTTTTAAATCAAGGGACCCGATCTGCACTCCAACCCTGTTAGCTGTTCTGCTCCTTTTCATTGGCACTTATCTGATCAATTATAGACATTGATTGGCTAAACAATTGACTTCCCTGATACTGAAAGTGCAAATCAATTTCTCATTTAAAAGTGAAAGGACAAAGGGAAGTTGACGCATTAGTCAGCAAAAGGAACGGGCAGTGTAAGGCAGTCTGGCTGATGTCACAGCTTGTTTGTAGCAATGAAATTTTAAAGTGCTGTATGCTATGATTTCAACCAGCTTTCCAAAAATCTTTCTCTCATTGCAGGAAATTCAAGATCTCACTAAAAGGCAGGTTCCCTAAACGTAACTGTTTTTTTCTCTCCACTGTTTTCCCCCCCACATCTCATTAATCTTGTGTGTATGCATGCTTGGCATTCCCTCTCATCTCTGCACATCCATCCATCTTCATGACACTCCCCATGGTGTGTCTATCAGGTCAATATTCTTTCATTCATCATTCAGTCCTCCCGTCTTCCCATTTTGTCCAAGCAGGTCTCAGGTCCGCTTTGTTCCTCCAGCGGAGGTGGACACTGAGGTGCGCTCTGGCCAGTTTGTGGGGCCCATACAGTACAGGATATGGAAGCACATGAAAAGCTGCCTTTACCCAAGTATGTTCATATATGTCATTTGATACAACACATTCAAAACAACACCAAAACTCACCTTTTTAATCTCTATTTGTTTACAGATATTACATCAATGACCTTTGACCCTGAGACAGCCCACCCTAATCTGTCCATGTCCCAGTCTTGCACCTCAGTATGGTTTGATGAGGATAAAGACACCAGTGATTGCCAACCCAACCCACAACGGTTCCATTATTATTACTGTGTGCTCGGCCATCAGAGCTTCACCACAGGCAGACACTACTGGGAGGTGGAGGTGGGACATAAGACAGCATGGAGGTTGGGTGTGGCACGAGCAGATGTCCAAAGAGGGGAGATGGATGCTACTGGCACTTCCAGTGGCCTCTGGACGCTGGCCCTGAAGGGTGGATCTGTCTTCGCCTGCACCGACCCGAAGCCCACCAAGGTCACAGTATCTGTACATCTTGTCCGAATCGGTGTGTTTTTAGACTGCGAAAAGGAGGAGGTATCTTTCTACAACGCTGTTACCATGGCACCACTCTACACCTTCACTATGGAAACGGTTGAGGTTCCTCTGTTCCCCTTCTATAATCCGTGTGACACAGATGAGGGGAGGAACACAGCAGCACTAAAGATCTTTAAACCTTCACTATGATTAGAAGCCACAGTCCAATTGTATGTTATATTAGTTGAACTATTCTTACATTTATAGTTGACACTCTTAGAAATAAAGGTACTAACTAGAACTCTATGTAGTTCTTTGGTTTGTCCCTATAGGAGAACCCTTTTTGGCTCCTGTTAAAACCTTATATAAAGGTTCCATCTGGAACCCCTTAAAAGGGTTTTACCTGAAACCCAGCATAAGGGGTTATTATAGACTGTATAGGGAGATGGACAACATGTCTCCACTTACTCCCACTGTACAAAAATGAAGCCAAAATATCCCAGATATGTCCACTATCATCACTGGTGACATCATTTGGAGCCAGAGTCTGTGCTGTTGCAATCTCCGCCATAACGAGTTCCTGCCCATACACCCATCCGACCAGTCAAAAGCGGCTCCACTGATCTCGAGCACACCGACTGGCACACATAGCTGTCATTCATAATGTCCATCCCCCTTTTTTTATAACATCAAATAGTTAATTAAAACCAAGAAGAACAAACACTTGAACATACAGTACAGGCCAAAAGTTTGGACACACCTTCTCATTCAATGCGTTTTCTTTATTTTCATGACTATTTACATTGTAGATTCTCACTGAAGGCATCAAAACTATGAATGAACACATGTGGAGTTATGTACTTAACAAAAAAAGGTGAAATAACTGAAAACATGTTTTATATTCTAGTTTCTTCAAAATAGCCACCCTTTGCTCTGATTACTGCTTTGCACACTCTTGGCATTCTCTCCATGAGCTTCAAGAGGTAGTCACCTGAAATGGTTTCCACTTCACAGGTGTGCCTTATCAGGGTTAATTAGTGGAATTTCTTGCTTTATCAATGGGGTTGGGACCATCAGTTGTGTTGTGCAGAAGTCAGGTTAATACACAGCCGACAGCCCTATTGGACAACTGTTAAAATTCATATTATGGCAAGAACCAATCAGCTAACTAAAGAAAAACGAGTGGCCATCATTACTTTAAGAAATGAAGGTCAGTCAGTCCGGAAAATTGCAAAAACTTTAAATGTGTCCCCAAGTGGAGTCGCAAAAACCATCAAGCGCTACAACGAAACTGGCACACATGAGGACCGACCCAGGAAAGGAAGACCAAGAGTCACCTCTGCTTCTGAGGATAAGTTCATCCGAGTCACCAGCCTCAGAAATCGCAAGTTAACAGCAGCTCAGATCAGAGACCAGATGAATGCCACACAGAGTTCTAGCAGCAGACCCATCTCTAGAACAACTGTTAAGAGGAGACTGCGCCAATCAGGCCTTCATGGTCAAATAGCTGCTAGGAAACCACTGCTAAGGAGAGGCAACAAGCAGAAGAGATTTGTTTGGGCCAAGAAACACAAGGAATGGACATTAGACCAGTGGAAATCTGTGCTTTGGTCTGATGAGTCCAAATTTGAGATCTTTGGTTCCAACCGCCGTGTCTTTGTGAGACGCAGAAAAGGTGAACGGATGGATTCCACATGCCTGGTTCCCACTGTGAAGCATGGAGGAGGAGGTGTGATGGTGTGGGGGTGTTTTGCTGGTGACACTGTTGGGGATTTATTCAAAATTGAAGGCACACTGAACCAGCATGGCTACCACAGCATCCTGCAGCGACATGCCATCCCATCCGGTTTGCGTTTAGTTGGACGATCATTTATTTTTCAACAGGACAATGACCCCAAACACACCTCCAGGCTGTGTAAGGGCTATTTGACCAAGAAGGAGAGTGATGGAGTGCTGCGGCAGATGACCTGGCCTCCACAGTCACCGGACCTGAACCCAATCGAGATGGTTTGGGGTGAGCTGGACCGCAGAGTGAAGGCAAAGGGGCCAACAAGTGCTAAACACCTCTGGGAACTCCTTCAAGACTGTTGGAAAACCATTTCAGGTGACTACCTCTTGAAGCTCATGGAGAGAATGCCAAGAGTGTGCAAAGCAGTAATCAGAGCAAAGGGTGGCTATTTTGAAGAAACTAGAATATAAAACATGTTTTCAGTTATTTCACCTTTTTTTGTGAAGTACATAACTCCACATGTGTTCATTCATAGTTTTGATGCCTTCAGTGAGAATCTACAATGTAAATAGTCATGAAAATAAAGAAAACGCATTGAATGAGAAGGTGTGTCCAAACTTTTGGCCTGTACTGTACATCAGTGTGACAAGAGCTACCTAAAATGACAGAAACCATCTTTGGGAAAAATTCATTTGACATGTACTTGACATGGGGTGGGGTTATGGCCTATGCTGCAGCCAGCCACCAGGGGGCAAACAAGACATTTTGGCTTCACTTTTGGGAAGCTGTCATGTCGTCCATTTTTATATATGCTCTATCTGTTGTAAGACCATCCCGCTCCCTATGAGAAGTTCTACTGAGAAGCCTTCTACTGCATAATGTTCCACCAAAAACCCTCACTTGGGGTTTATACAGGACCTTTCCATTTTCCAACGCTGTTAGCAAAAACACTTTTATATTCCAATGGTTTCATCTAGAGCCCACCCAGTGAGGCTCTAAAAACAATTAACTAGATCACCCATAGATCTTTATCCCATTAAATATGGTTTTAGTTTAACAAATGAGACCAAGGGAAACAACTTGTACAACCCACAACAATCATGGTTCACAATCATGTTTAAGGGGGTGGAGATGCCTTAAAATCACTACTGCTACAGCCTTTGCTATTTCAAATGGTACGGTAGGGTTGGAAACCGAAACTCAGTTCAAAGTTAGAACCAAATCCAAAATGCCAGGTATCAAGTACCTGTAAAAATAAATAAATAAATGCTAAAAAAAATAATTTTAGCAGACCATGTGGTATTGCATGACATGAACTGATGGTGAATATATCAACTATGGCAGAACATAGTAAAATAAATCGATTAAGAGGGACTCCAAATATGTCTATATCTAAAAATGAAATTTGAGTAATGGGTAAATATTTAATTTTCATTGTACATTTTAACACTGTCGTGGACCAAGCAGTCAAAGCACAAAAAACACAGGTTTAAAGTTAAAAAAGGTGGATTTATTTCCCCCCAAAAAAATAAATGTTGCAAAGGAAATGACCAAAGATAACAGAATTTGAGTTATAGTGCCTTTAAAAGAGGTCAACAAAACATAACTCTACTGAAAATAAGGCTCACAAAACTAGACATTAACTTAACAAACAGAGCTCATCGAATGAAACAATGGGGCAACATATACACTGGCTGATCAGACCAAATTAAACACAAAGGGGAGAACTTACATACACAACAACTAAGACTAACATAAAGAAACCCCTAATCCCCTCCCCATGATGTCACAGCCCCATCTTTGCCCAACTCCAACCATGAAGTGACCTTAGGTAACTCAAAACAAAGAGAAATGAATAAATAACTAACAAAATCAAATAGCAAAATGGCAAAACAATGTAAACTAAATGTGTCCACTTACTCTAGAAAACAGTGTGTTGTCAAATGCTAATAAATTTTAAACCAAACAACCTGGTGTTGTGTGCATTTTAAGTGACTGCAAACGTTTTGTGTGGCTGTGGGCACGGCCATCACAAACACCCATGTTCTCAACGATCCTTGAAGAACTCTTTCTTCCAAAAAGGGTTCTTCAGGAGAAAACAACCTTGGATTTCGGGACATCTTTCTCTATTTGCTAACATTGTATAGACAAAAATGATAAATTGATCATTAACTGATTTATCAGTGATGACAATAATTGCTAGTTGCAGCCCCATTTACAACAACTCCAGGATTATTAAATAAATTTGAAGAAAATACATAAAACATGCCTGTTACTGTCACCAAAAATGACTTTTTAATTATTAATGCACATAATATTTTACTATGAATGCTTCAGATTTTGAGAAAAATACATGTGATGAGATATGAAGCCTCAAATGAATCTTGTAAAAGAGCTGAGGAAAACAAAGCACAGGGGAAGGTTGTATTCTGCAGCCGTCCTGGAGTTTCAGGGTCCATGGCAGGTGTTAACAGCATTATGATGTTACCTTTGGCCTGTTTATAAATATCTCCGTTGTGCCTGCTCAGCTATGACGTGTCCTGGCGAGGTTATGGAAGCTGGGATTAGTGGCACGCCAGGGGCCTGAGGGGTGAGAAAGTGGCGCGTGACACTCAAACAACAAATGATGGCTGACATTGAGTGAGACGAGTCACTGAGCTGGAACAGACAGCTCTGACACAGGACTGCCCTTCCTCGAGTTTGATTACCCAGAGAAAACAAAAGACAACAAGACAGCAGATGTCATAATCGCTTGTTTATTCTTAGTATTCCTTTAGACATGAAATAAAGAAAAAACTATTTTCTTTACAAAACATCTGTGTGAAGTGTTGTGCAAAAAGGGAGTACAGAGAGAACATGTGGGATGTCACACCACACCCAGGCCAGAACAGCAGAAGTAAACAGAGAGGATCAGGGCAGAGACAACTCACATATTGTGCAAGAAGTGCCAGTGGTATTAAAAGTAGTAGTTTCTTCTATTAGTAGGTTATCAGAAGTGGGTATGACACCAGAATCCCTCTGGCACCAGTTTGATGTAATAACTCCAATCCCACTAGACTGAGCCTTCTTTGAAATGCTGGTAACGTGTAAACCAAAGGCTATCTGCCTCTCTCACATCCCTACTCACTCTGGCTGGAGTGGCTCACAATCACTGACAGTATTCAGAAGCGGTGGTGCACGGAAATGCTGTCTGCAGTCTCTCATCAGTTGCTTACCAAAACATAACTCTGTGGGTTACCCACACAACGCTTTGTCATTCATCTGCTGCTATCATTGATTAACTCACATACCTCTATCTGTGCCACAGACTTGATTAATGAAATGGAAACATCCTCGCTTACAAGTAGAGCACGCTCAGCACTCTTAATGCTACTCAGAATCATCTGGAAACCTGACTTTCATCATTACTTTCATAATAATCACACAGTAAGTCACGTATCTCCTACACATTAGCATATCATAGGCCAGTCAGCGGTACCAGTCAGGTGTGCAAACAGCTTTCTAGAATACCATACCTATTAAGAAAAAGGTGCCATTAGGAGTGTCAGCAAATGACAGAATACAGGCCAACTATCCAGTATACGTTTTAGGCACTAAACA